CAAATTATTTATAATATCATACATAAATACATGTACTATATTTATTTAACATTGTACTAGAACTTTCTTTCTAAATTATTTCGATAAATTTATTATATTATGTATAAGTTTAAAAAATGTTTATGAAATAACACCTGTAAAAGAAAAGTTTTCATAACTTAATGTAAAAAGCTTTGATGGAAGCAGACGACAGTTTGCTATTGTGCGGCGATACGATAACGCTTTTATTAGTCTCCACCATGCTACTACATTTCTATGAGCGAAAAATAAAATAAAACTGGTCTCCCGCTTTTTTTATTACAACTTCTTTTCTACTAGCTTATATAATATCTTTTTGTTTAAAACTATACATATACATATTTTGTTTAAATTATATATATTCAATATATTTTAACATAATAAGTTTACTATGAAGAATCTTAAACCATTACCTATCATTAATATCATATAGTGATGAGATCTTATATTCAAAAATACTTGCATTAACATTTTTACAGTTGAATTACAATATTTTCGTAATAATTTAGTTTGTAACCAGATTAATAATTAATTTTATAATTATTGAAATGATTTATTAAGCTAACGAGCAATGATATGATTCCATTTCATAATACTGCTCAAACAACCTACTCGACATATTTGATGTCACCATTTAATAGTAATTAGAGCTTCCTCACAGATTTGTCTTTGATTTAGTAACTCATGTAATGAGCATAGTGTAATATTTAATTAGAGATCTGTCATGTGAGAAGACTTACTCGCGAGAACGTATCAATTAATTATGAATTTAATGTTTTACTTAGAAATAGTCTTTCTTGATTTTACATAAATATCGAGATTGAAAGATCAAATATCATTATTTATCTTTTCTTACTACTTCTCATAGAATTCAACACTTGTATATCAAATATACAAAGAGAAATCCTTTGCTGTCTATGAATCTTTTAAAAATTAGTAATTTTTTACAATATTTGTAATAAAATTATTAAATTAACATTTGAAAGTAATACAAAAACATTTTATTATTATATCCACCATGGATATATATCCACGTATGTATATTCTACACAATCTATTTTTGTAAAAAAATCAAAATACAAATACAATGGAAATATCCATAAAAGAGATCTCCAACAAACTCGAGTTTATTAATTTTGCAATATCAGGGAACATTGGTTCAATCATTCATTCAAGCATCATTACATTCTCATTCGTTCGTTCGTGCGTTCGGTCCTCTTCATTTGGAGTAGTCGTTATCGTGATGTAGATACATATTTAGGAAATTGCCTACATTCATGCTTAATCAAATACTCTCAGAATGACGCTACTTTTACATATTTGATGAAGTTCAGTATTTTGATAATTTTTATTTTTATTGAAATTAACGTTTTTGTAGTCTTCACTTACTTATTTTACGTATGAAATGTTTTCTTTTCCTTTGGAAAGAAAATGCTATATATTAAATATACTTTAAACATTTCCCCTGCGAAAAATCGAACTTACTATTGAAATTGTAAACCGTCTTCGGGTCATTAATAGAATTCAATTTTACTATATCTTAAAAAAAAGTTTTTTGCAAATTATAAAATAATATACGTAAAATGCAAAATGTTTGTAAATATAAAATAATAGTTTTACATAATATTAAAAATCACAGAAGAATGGTTTCCATTAAGTCTGAAGTACATAAAACCATCCATTAAAAGTTTTAAAGCAAAAAGTAAACCACGGTGGTGCATTCCGGCTTCCGTCAGTAATTAACAGTGCGCTCGGTTTTGTTTTATTTCGCAGCGTGACGGATCTCTAAAAATGGCTCCCTGCATGTTAAAATGGAATGTACGTTCAACACTCAATAATTTTATGTCATATTTGACAATATTTCCTACAGAAGTGTTACTGTATAATCGCTGTTAAATTTTTTTACTAATCGTTGAATGAACAATGCTAACGTAAACATACATATCTAAATATGTATATTATTAAGGATTGTATATTTCTACATATATAATTTATTAATGTTTTAACTGAAAACATTGATCCAGCATTAGGTGTATTTTTGTAGCAAAGACAATATTTTTTCTCATGAAAGCAAGTAAAAAATGACTTCTATTTAACATGTTCATTTGGTTATTTCAATTTTAAAAAAGAATAAAAATGCACATTAATGTAACTTAAGAACCCGTTCACTTCGTGCACAAAAGCTTTAATACCGACGTAGTAGTAGGCATAAATCATATCTTTTCAACGTCTCAGACTAGAGTACACTCGGGCGTATAATCGGGTACGTTTTAAAGCTGTCACCAGCTTAGCACCCACCCCCTCCCCCTGGCACTTTACGTGCGTTTTGACGCGATTATCGTACCCTGATGAATCTGCGTACTGTATTATTTGTGATATTTTTTATTAAAAACGTACAGGCATATACATTTTCATTTATACTTAGACATTTAAATATTTTATAAATATTTTTTATTTGTAATTGTAAATCTGTGCACGATTCCCAACGAAGTATATTCTCGTCAATAATCGAGTTCGTTTTAACGTCACAAGCTTAGCGCCCAACTCCCCCATGGCACTTTACTTGCGTTTTGACGCGATTATCATACCCCGCCGTATCTGCGCGCAATATTGTTTGTGGTTAGCGAAGTAAGAAAGACTGGATACCTCTATCCATAATTATATTTATTTAAATTTCGGAATTAACGATGGAAATATCTATAAAATTATGTGAATAAATTTTTTTACTTGATTTAAGCCCTCTAAATTTAATATGGCTGAAATTTCAATCAACATAAACATAAACTAAGTACGTAAGCGAGCGTAAATTTTTTATTAATTTTCATAGTATTACATTTTAAGATTTATATCATATGAAAAATGTTATACTACGCTTAACGAGAATTAAATAATAAAGTGCCACATCCATTAGCCTGTTTCCTTTGTTTTGTACATCAGTGACACCATTCAGCATCCCGCTACCGGCGAGGTTTTTGAATTTGCTTCCTTTGTGACGGTTTTAATATGGAAATTAATGTTCGTTGCCGTGTGCCGCTACACCTTGCCAATCAAATTATTTAAAGCTAAAAACGGAACCCTCATCGCTCTCCCGTCAGTATAACGAAAAACGCAATAATTTTTAACTCTTCTTTTTATGAACGATCTATTTTTTTTAAATATATTATAATGTTTACTTACTTTTAATTTATAAAATGAGTATGTTATAATAAAAATTCATTATTTCGAGAATATTAAACATTTAGGTACGTTGTTTATTTGTTCATCAATCAAGTCTCTAAGCAGTGAGATAATTTTTATGCTTTTTTATTGCTCGGTTCTATCTACCAGGCGGACCAACTGTTTTATATTTAAACCCTTAAATATAAACAGCAATAAACTTTAAATCTATATGTAGGTAGGTGTAAAATGTCGCAGGATTTACTTTAGCCGCACGGTGCGCTGTACTCGGGGCCGCGGGGGAGGCTCGCTCACACAGCCGTCATGTTTACCCATCGTCGCGTACGTAAGATTCCATCCCGCTTCACGCTCCGTATCAACTGTTTGAATAGAGATACGCCACTCTGAATTTATTGTGAACATCTCCCCCCGCACCCTCCAGCCATTGTCACAAATCCGATGTATCGCTTTCACTGCGAACTCGCTCAATGATATGGTAATGTGACATTTAATTCCAATTATTGAGGGATCCTTTATTAATATAGATATAGGCACGATCTTTTATTGAAAATTCAATTGTGCGGTTGCAGATCTGTCGTGGATAGGTTTCGTATTCACAATCGGGAAACGTGATTGTTTTATCTTTCGAACTAGCGACTCACCCTCGCTTCGCTTGGGTTTGTCCCTAGTTTGCTTCCCCATACAAACTTTCATTCCCATTTTCACCCCCTTAAGGGATGTTATTCGGTATCAAAACTACCCTATATTCTTCACAGGTTCTCAAACTATCTGCTTACCAAATTTCATCTAAATGGGTTTAGTAGCTTCGGAGCTTATGCGGTACAAAGAAATCTTAGTACATAAAGATGTATTTTGATATTATTGTCTTGTTTTACTAAGGTGTAAGAAAAAGAAAACCAATATATAATGTATATTATATATTGGTTTTCCAATTGTACCTATATAGAAAAGACTTAAAACTAAATTTTTTTAACTATTATATCCATATGTGTCTTGAACTAAATACATAAAGAATATTCATCAGTATCACAGATCACACAACACTATTCTAGTCACCGCAACCCGGTAACAGAAACTGCTAATATTTTGGTACTATGGTTGGTAGTACATCTAGAATTGATACTTTTATTACAAATACAAAAAAGACAGGAAATTAAAAAAAAAACGATACGAGCGACTGAATCCGACGAGTTATTAGAATGCGGATGTATCTTCATTCGAATATTGGCAATAAAACAGCGCTGAGCTGAAAAATCGATGTCGACAGACGAACCGACAAGTACACCGGGAACATGATGATATAGATGTTTTCGTGTTTGTGGAGCAAATAGAATCGACAAGAAAGGATCGAAATAAAGCTTGTTATGCATATTCGTATGGGTATATTTCGTTTATAAGAAAATATATGATTGTGTTTTGTAAATGTATTATTATGGTGTAATTACTTAATATATTATGTACTTTTTGACCACACAATGGTTAACGCAGTGGTAGTGTCAATTGCCTAAGAAGATGATTCGAATGCATCCGTATATAAATGCTATAATTGTTATTAGCATTAAAATACGCCCGTAATGATATTCTTATTTACCTATATCGATCTGAATTCAAAATAATGGCTGAATTACCTACTTAGGGAGATATTTAGACTGATTTGCGGTTAATACCAAAAATATTTTATTATATCTACATAAAAAATATATAATATCACGTAAATAAATCGACTTATTTATAATATTTGTACTGATTCATTTATTCAATTTGCATATAAGAAATTTCTTTTTTGTTTCAGAAAGTAGAAAAAGATGAGCTCTGTTCAGGAAGAAAAACCTGCAGATGGCACCACCAAAACACATGTTCGTGAATTGAGAAACGCTGAACTGGTTTCCCGTTTACTGGCTGCGACTCCTCCATATCTTTATAGCGCTCTGCCACTTCAACCACATGCGTTTTTCTTTAGTGAAATGTTAAGGTCGTTCGTTAACGCTCGTCATGGTTGCCGACCACCACACTATCATCGCCGCTTTAAACGTCGTTCACATAAGTATTTTGCCGAAAACGAAAATGACTGGAGACGTGAATGGCCTAAGCAAGATGAAGAAAAGAAGGAACCAGAAATGCGACCTGAAGTTCCTCTTGAGTTAACTGTAGAAAAGCAGCCAAGAATGTGTGATCAATCACCGAGAAGATTGTCTCCAAAAGCAGAGCCTCCTAAGCCGAGTAGCCCTGGGCCACCAGGGAGACAGTCTACATTTGTAGATGTTGGTACAGAAGAGTTGCCCAAACCAGCACCATGTGTCGGAAGAACTCCGGTTGAGGCTAGCTCTGTACCTCCTGCAAACCTGATTCTCCCTCCTCCACCACCGATGTGGTATCCACCGCTTTATAATCCGCAATTCGGTGTAGATCCACTCAACTTTTTCATTGACTTACGTGTGTCTGGACATATTTACGATCGAAAGAGATCTGTACCTGAAACAATGGATCCAAATATTGGTTTAGATGTACGATCTGAAGAGTCTAATTTAGACAAGAGATTGGGAAAAGATTTTGGGCAAAAACCTCGTCATCTATCAGCTTTTTCGGTACCGGTTAGATCGAATCAAACGCAGGTTGAGGGATCGGAAAAATATTTTGAAAGGAACACAAGGTATTTGGGAAAGCCGAATGGCACCTCATATATTATGAGAAATTTGAAAAGCGTTTATGAAAATTTGCATTCAATTGAACGTAAGGAGGATTCAAAAGATAAAAATGAAGACCCAAAAGCTGAATCATCAGATTTAGAAGATGACATAATGGATTAAGCCATCACGGGCTTACATGAATACTGTATATGTATAATGTATATTAAATTACTTTAGTATAATTAAATTATATAAAAATTATAAAGGATATAAGAAATATTTTAAGCACTATCGTTATAATTTAAAATATTATAAGGTGTTGTGATGAAAAATATTTATTCAAATTATAACACGCCACAAATATGATAGGTATAAAAATAGTTCAAAAGTAACAATTAATATAATTTTGAATTTAATTTTTTTTAAAGTAAGACCTAAACGATTAGTTTTTGTTTTTTACTAAATAAATAAGTACAACACTTTACTAGTCACTAGTTTCTGCTCAAGTAAGAAGTGTTTTCTTATCTTACGTTTTTGGGCGGCGCCATCTATTAATAAGCTTAGAACTAATCTTTTGTTAAAATAAAATTAAAAGTTTATTAAGCCCCATCTATGTTTCACCCAAATCGATGATAGGTTCTAACAATTTTCATTAATATGTAATTTAAATTAGCCTAGCATTAGCAAATAACAACAAAAATTAATAACAAGAAATAGTTTAACTGTTACATGCAATATTTTTTGTCAGTCATATCGGCATTGTGCACCATAAATAACTATTCCCTTCGATTAACAATACTACGATTCCAAATGCTTTATTATAAAATGTAAAGCAGTTAAATCTAAATCAATAAAACTTTCGTTTTGTTAAAAATTAAATAAAGTCATGTATTTCTAGTCTAATAAAATTTAATGAAATTAAAAATATTATACATATTATAACGTGTAAATTAAAAAAACACGCATATTTTTTTGTAAGTAGTAAGTTTTTGTCTTCAGCATTATAATATCAAATAAAATTTTAGAAGTTCAAACGGTTTTTTTTTCTCAAACCTTTTTCCTAATTCTCTAATCTTTTTCCTTTTTCCTTAATAGATAAACAAATTTATTAAAAACTAGCGAATCAACCTCGCTTGGTGATTCTTTAATTTGACATAACTTTTTTATTTTTGAACCCATTGAAATAAAACGAAAAGTATAGTAGTGAAAAACGCACGCAAAACGGTTAAGCCGTATCTGAGATAAGCGCGAACAACCAAACAGACAAACCGACAACAGACATTTTTTTTAAAAATCATTGCGTTAATAAAGACCCCCAATAATAGTTTTTCTCAAATATCTTTCATGTACAGTGAGCGATCTATTACACTTTTATTATATACAGTATAGATAGGACCTACTAGGATAATGTTTAATATCAGTAAATTTAGAGGGCTTAAAGGCGCGACAGAGACAAAACGAATATGCGGCCGAAGTCTTCTACGATAAATGAAAATAGATATTTATAACCATTTTACATTAGGTTTTAATGTTATTATATTTTGAATAAATTATAATACATATTATAATTTTTTACATCTATACATATAATAAAATTGTATACATACATATACATGTAACTTAGTCGAATCTGTACATTAAATATTTTTTGGAAAATCTAATTGAAATAGACATTATTATCGATACAGAGCCCGACTCTATAGTTTTTAGAATTTTTGTCTGTCTGTCTGTCTGTTACCGCATCACGAGAAAACCACTGGACAGATTTTGATAAAATTTGGTATGATGATAGCTGGTTATCCGGGTCAACATATAGGATACTTTTTATCACTGAAAAATATCTCATTTTTGAGAAAAAATACAAAAATTTCTATGTAAGAGTATTCTTATATGTAAAACCTAAGAATTTGGCTTTGGTCATCTGAACGCGGGCGGAGCCGCGGGCAATGCTAGTTCCATTTATAAATTCAAATTGGAATAAAAAACAGGTATTGGTCGCACGTTCGCTTTTTCTCTTTCTGGAAGTTGTCAATTTCATAAGAGTATAAAGTATTGCTCAGTCCATTACTAGGTCTATAATCTATATTCAAATAACAAAATAATAATAATTCAATCTTAATTATTCTGTGTAGGTGCGACATCTATCTGGTTCATAGTAAATGACAAAGATACTTCTTGACTTGACGGTAAACTGGATCGTGTATGGCTGCCATTAGAATTGAAAGTTGAATAAGAAAATTAATTGCCATATAATTGTTATTTATATGTAGTTGATGAACAATAAAATCTGTAAAATATATACACATTACATAGGTACATTAATTTTCATTAAAATGACAAAAAAAAATACAAACTACACCACAGAAGATTAATATCTATATACTATGTCATTTTGTACTGTGATACTATTAGATTTATATTAAAAAAATTAAAGCTAAAGATATTGTGCCACATATTTTGCAAAAACTGACAAACCAAAAAAAACAAAAAAAGATTCGACTTAGAATTTTTTTTAAAGTATTAATTTTCCGGCTAACTATATAAGAACATTTTCGATTATTTCCCATTAAAACAAATTTTCGCCAATAAATATTTGAATTAAACCAAAAGTAAATTTATTTGTAGTACAATTGTAATATTGGGTTTCTTATTTTATTTCTGAAGTAAAAAAAACCTTGTTACTAATCAAAAAAGTATTACTGTGTTGGGGGCGACCGGCGACGACATCCGAGCGTAAGATTCAGAATTCAGAAATCTTACAATTTTTTGTAGGACAATGTGATCATCCAATTATGCATATTTTCAATAATAATTAATATTATAAAAATCAGCCGTTTATTAATACATTTTATGACGTTGTTATTTTAACATGTTCGGAGAGGGGGGCTATTTGAACGAAACCATCTGTTTTGTAGGGCAACATTTTTTTCTTGTTTAATGTTAGATTATCTCTAGATTAAATTGTAGAGCAACCTGTTAGTAATATTAGACTATCACCGTTTTAAGATATCCCGACTGAAGCTACAATGTATCTACCACTATTAAATTCTCGCAAAAGGAATAATTGGGTGTCTCGCCAAAATAAAGCTATTCACGAAGTTTTAGTATGTTATTAATCATGAAAAAAAAAACTCTGTTGGGGACAGCAGACTATAAATTGATGTTGTTAGTTTTGACTTTTGATAACAATTGGGCCATGAAGTATTCTTATATTAATTATAATTAATGATCGATATACTAAATTCATGTGGATTAATTTACCTGTAGAAATCTTTATGTAATATTGTGTCCGCCTAGGTTACTATGATGATTTTATATACTTTTTATCTGGTTAGCTAAGATCAGGTAAACATAAAATTCATCTATGACATGCTTTAAAAATGAATGTCTAATGCTGGCAACTAGTATGAACAATGAATCAATATTAATTATTATTGTGGCAACCCTTGTTAGTCACCACGCGATTAGTGCATTTGGTTGATTTTCTTTTTTGGAAGTTCTGAGTTTAGACATTTCAATATAAATTTATTTTAGCAAAATGTACGGACAACCAATAATAGTACTGAGTGAGTAAAGTTCGTGATATGGATGCTTTATTTTCTATTGTTAACATATTATAATAATGTGAAATTATTTACAGGCCAAAACACAAAACGTGAGTCCGGCCGGAAAGTTCAATTGGAGAATATTAACGCTGGAAAGGTGAATATCTGTTAAAATTGCTATAAAGAACAAATTTTACGATGGTTTTCATTGATTGATACTATAAGAAGTTCAATGTTATGTTTATTTTAGACGATAGCAGACGTTATACGAACATGCCTCGGACCACAGGCTATGTTGAAAATGTTAATGGATCCCATGGGTGGGATTGTAATGACGAATGATGGAAATGCTATACTCAGGGAGATCACCGTACAGCACCCAGCTGCTAAAACCATGATAGAAATCGCACGAACCCAAGATGAAGAGGTTAGAATCATTGTATTATTTATGAATATTTAATGTTGAAATCTTTTCTTTATACTATAATATATTGAATCTTGAGAAATGTTTTTCTTTCAAAAATGCATTAATTACATTATTTATATCTAAAAATATAAGAATTATAATTATATGAAGGTTATTTTCTGCTGCAGAAAAAAAATGATAGTTTTTATTGATACCCAAATAATTGATAAAAGAATAATAATTTATAATTAATTAACGAAAATGCAAATAATACTATATATAGTATAATATAGTGTATAGTCTAAAATGTGAAACCATTGATAAGTATGTTTTTATTTTAGGTAGGAGATGGCACAACATCTGTGATTGTCTTAGCCGGGGAAATGCTTGCTGTGGCTGAACCTTTCCTTGCACAAAATATCCACCCCACAGTCATCATTAGAGAGTACAGACAGGCTTTAGAAGATGCTGTAAAGCTGTTACAAGACAAGATCTCCATACCTATAGATCTGAATGACAGAGAAAAAGTTAAAGAAGTTGTAAGTATTTAACATGCTTATTTCTTCATTACTAATTTAACATTTAATTTAATAAAACATTTTCATTAAATATAAATACTAAAATAAAAAAATGAAAATTCATTAACTTTCTAGAAACCGTTAATTTAGCATAGAAAGTGAGTTACATAGCATTAAGTAGTATATAATTTATATGTTGGGAAATGCAATTACGCATACCACCTGTAGACATGCAGATGGTTATGTGGGACTCATCGGCTAAAAAAGCCAGTACTATCCACTAAAACACAACAACCAAGGATTTATTTAACACGGTTTCCTGTTAAATTTTTAGCATTAACAATGGTGCCTATGTGCCTTAAAGAGCATGTTCAGTGGACAATCCTATGCCTGAACTATCACCAATTATGTGTCTTGTCAGATTTTGAGAGTAAAAGGATTAGAAAGTGCTCTTGTTTTTGCACTTATATATCTCTCATCTAGTGTTAATGAGATTGGCCGCCATGGCCAAAACCAGTTAGGGGAAAATTACTATTATTATTTCTACCACAATATAGTGCCCAAATGTTGAAATAGTTAGTTTTATTCACTTGTGAAATAATTATCTTGAATTTCAGATTCGATCTTGTGTAGGAACCAAGTACATAGGTCGCTGGGCTGACCTAGCTGTGGACATTGCTTTAGATGCCGTCAGCACAGTCACTATAAATGAAAATGGACGAGTTGAGGTTGATATTAAGAAGTAAGTTATATTGCTATTTATAAATTTTGTATCCAATTAAAGGAAAAGATGTTTTTCCATATTAGTGTTTTCAAAACAATGTAACATTCATTCTAAGCTAGTTTATATCTACACATAATCCAGTGAATTTGGTTTAGTAGGCAGGTGTCAGTTATATTTCCTAAGTGAGATTTGAGGGATTTGTAGACAACCTATGGGTTGATATAATTTCTCAGCTTATTGACATGGATAGCTATCAATGGATAAATGAGATTGAATTTCTAAGTGCGTAAAAAAAGCAGAACTGAAGCACAGATTTGGATTTTCAAAATTTAACCTGTTAGAGAGACATGGGATAAAAATATTAGTAATTCTATTTTTAAAAACTGACCTGCTGTATTTGCAGTATTTAGTACAGCTTAGATATACAGATAAATAAAATTGAAGAGTTTGTTTGTAATGTCAAAATAACAGCTATTTACTAAAAGCATATGAAATTATATACAGTACATATAAGAATAACACAATTTTTAAAATTTTTGTTTGTCTCAAACAGCTGGACTGATTTTGATGGGGCTTTCACTGATAGATATTTGTGTTATGAGAAGTAACTTGGCTACTTTTATTTTAGAAAAAGAATTAGGTTTCTGCCCAAATAAGTTGAAAGGTACCTCGTATGTAGATATAAACATTATTCTTTTCATATATCTTTACTTATTTCTTTTTAAAATGTGTTCTTAGCTATGCCAAAATTGAAAAGATCCCTGGTGGTACAGTAGAAGAGTCAAAAGTTTTGAATGGAGTTATGTTCAACAAAGATGTCACCCATCCCAAGATGAGACGGTTCATTGAAAACCCACGCATTATGTTGCTAGATTGCCCTCTAGAGTACAAGAAGGGTGAAAGTCAGACCAATATTGAAATTGTTGGTGAACAGGTTAGTACTATTAGGATATTTTTTAATGATTATGCTCTGAAAATAAGAAAATGTAACTATTTCCCTTTATAATCTACACATATAATAAAATTGTAACCAAGCGTAAATATTATTGAAATAGACATTATTATCAATACAGAGGTCAAATCTATAGTTCTTAGATTTTTTTTCTGTCTGTCTGTGACTGCATCACGAGATAACCAATGGACATATTTTGATGAAATTTGGTATGATGGTATCTAGTTGTCCGGGTCGACATATAGGACACTTTACTGCGGGAAAACATCTCTGAGTTAAATGTTAAAACGTAACTAGGTACAAACCCGAGCGGAGCGAGGGTGGGTCGCTAGTTATATATAAAGTTAAACATTATACTTTGAATCCTATAAGAGATCATGGGATTCAAATTAATCTATTTTTCTTGTTTTCTTTTTGTGTTCATATATTTGTCTCATCAATCTTCTCATGCAACAAATGGTTGTTGAATTGATTATATTTCTACTACTCCTCCACACATAAGATTTATAACATCATGTCATCATCATCATGTATATGAATTTATCTATTAAAATATCGTTTATAATAAATTTATTTAAACTTAATTCTATTATGAAGATAGTTCTTTATAATATACTAGGTGTGCGCCGTGGTTTCACCCGCGTTAAATTTGTTTGACTATAAACATCAGTTATACAATAATATACGGGAGTCTGCATGATTTGTTGACATATATGATTATTGCACCTCCTTTGGGTGGTAGTATGATGATATATAGCCTTCCTCAATAAACGGGCTATCTAATGCAGAAAGAAGTTTTCAAATCCAATTAGTAGTTCCAGAGATTAGCATGTTCAAAAAAACAAACAAAAAAACAAACTCAACTTCTTTATAATTAGTATATAAAATAAATACATATAGATTTTGCATCTTATCAAATACATAAATTCACTGTATAAAATAATCCTTTTGATCTGCAGGACTTCACAAAACTCCTACAATTAGAAGAAGAGCATGTGCAGCGTCAGTGTGAGGACATCATTGCACTGAAGCCTGATGTAGTTGTCACCGAGAAGGGTGTGTCAGATTTGGCCCAGCATTATCTAGTTAAAGCGGGCATCACAGCTATTCGCAGGTACAAATCTCCCTTTTTATTAAGTTTTGACTAACTTAAGTGTAATGCAAGTTTTTAAGGAAGGCTATTCTTGTTATGTAATATTATGTCTTAAATGCTTTCTTTTTCATAAATATATTTTACTACAAAATGATGGTACTATGTGGAACCATCCATGCATATTATTAAAAAATAATTCTCGAAGAAACTTTAAAAGTTACCTGTACTTTTTTATAGTTAAAAAGTACTCTTATTTTAACACCTCCAGGTAAATTTCTAAGAAATTAATTAAAATTCTAAGAAATCTATTGTTAACTGACACGCCGGCGTGTCCGCAGTCGTGGAGTGATTAAGAATTTTTAAAAATGTAAAATTATCTTTTGTAGCCTACTCTTTTCATTTCCAGGTATTTTATATTTTTATTTCATTTGTACTATTTATTTAAGCCTGTCATTATATCTGTCTACTAATATAATTGTGAAAGTTTGTATGTATATTTATTACACCTTGATGGTAAAACATCTGCGCGGATTTTGATCAAATTACAGTTTACACATAGACTATTACCTGTTATAGTACAGGTTCTATATAGGGTACCTGCTACTATCTGGCATCATCAGATAATCAGGCAGAAATACAATTTTTTTCAAGGTTCAAACAATTCAAGACCTGCCTATAAACTTATAAAGATAAGTTTAATTTATGACGACACGTTTGACTCAGTTTGTAGTGACTCTAATTGCTGTGCCAGCGGTCACGGCTTTGAATCCCGCTGGGGGCATTCATTTGTGATGAGCATGAATGTTTGTAATCCAGTCATGGGTGTTTATATTTATAATATGCACGTATTTAAAGCTATATATATGTGTAGTGTATCTACTATCTGGTATCCATAACACAGGTCACATAGTTTACCATGGAACTAGATGATGCTGTGTGTTATTGTCGCAACATATTTATTACTAGCGACTCACCTTGACTTCGCTTGGGTTCGTCCCTAGCTTGCTTCCCAATACAAATTTTCATCCCCATTTTCACCCCCTCAAGGGAAGATTTCCGGGATAAAAAGTATCCTATGTCCCTCCCAGGGTCTCAAACTATCTTCTTACCAAATGTCATCTAAATCGGTTCAGAAGATCCAGAGATCACCTCCTACCTCACAAACTCACAAACTTTACCTCTTTATAATATTAGTATAGATTTATATTTATTATTATTTAATTCACCCAATCCTCTTTGTAACAGATTGCGTAAGACCGACAACAACCGCCTGGCGCGCGCGTGCGGCGCCACCATCGTCAACCGTACCGAGGAGCTGAAGGAGTCCGACATCGGCACGCAGGCCGGACGCTTCGAGGTCAAGAAGATTGGTGATGAGTACTTCACCTTCGTTACTGAGTGCAAGAATCCTAAGGTATTTGTTGTTGATTTATTGTTTTATTTGTTTTTATTTCATTATATGTACCGCATTTGATGTCAATTATGATCGCTTGATACTTTCATAAGTAAGTGTTAAGGAGTATGTGGTAAGTAGTTCATGTGCACTTATGGCGGGGCCCTTCATATAAACATTTCTTGAGGCTTGTGGTACTCTAGTACTAGTGACTGTTATTGTCACCAGATATTATAAGCTAAGGGCAGCCCATGATGTGACGTCGTCATAAGTACCAGGCGCTAACATGTGCTAAAGAATAATATAATAATTGATGTGTATAATACCTTGTATGCATGACAACTTTTATGACCTAGACTAGACCTAGACTTAGACCTTTTATTTAAATGAAAAAAGTACCATTATTTTAGTAATTATAATATATGTTTTTATATGTTTAATTCAGGCGTGTACAATCCTACTACGTGGTGCTTCCAAGGATGTGCTGAATGAGATCGAGAGGAACCTCCAGGATGCGCTTCACGTCGCTAAGAATTTGGTTAGTTGAAATGTTTATTTATGTTCCATTTTGTTATATTGAGTTAGAGTGAATTTTGTGTTGTACATAGTTCAGATGTGTATAAGATCACTTATTTTTATATATCTATTATTATTTACGTAATTATCATTTGTTTAACTGCCTGCCTGATACTTAATATTGTAAATTTGAGAGTTGTTTTGTTTGTTGGTTGGTTTGTTTGTTTGTTTGTTCGTTTGTTTGTTTGTCCTGCTTTCACGTCTAAACAGAGTGACGGATTGACGTGATTTTTTGTGTGGAGCTAGTTGGAGCGCTGGAGAGTTGACATAGACTACTTTTTACCGTGGGAAGTTTTCCCTATGGGTAAACATATTATAATACAACCTACAACAACTCATCACACCTATGTGTATATTATATGTAGTCTCTATTTTATACTAACTGTTAAAACGTACCTATGGATGAACCCGAGCGAAGCAAGAGCGAGCCGCTAGTACGTAATAATAATAATTTAAGTGATAGAGAAAGAATGAGAAAGATAAAGGCAGTGAACATGAAGAATAGAGATTTTATTATATGATAATACTATGTATTACAGCCTACAGGCAGGGTTCGAAATGATAATAATCATTGATAGTTATCAATGCTTTTTATCATGATAAGTATAGGTTGATAATTATCTTTGATAAATATAATCGAAAGTATTTAATTTGCAACTCTTTAAGTTATCGATCAGCAAACTGAACTTTCTCAATCAGCTCAAAAAATTCATTTTCGTTGGTTAAATTTATTCTGTTTTTGTTGCTATATCAAAATTATGAAAAAAAAATAATAATAAAAACTTACCTTGATTGTTAAAAGTATATATGTACATAATTTATTCTAACGTAAATTATGATAGGCAAGTAGTTAAATACCAATACTTACACATGGATTGTTTAGTTTATATATGTTTGATGATTATCGGATAATTATTATCCTGATAATTATTATCGTGATAATTATTTTCGTGATAATTATTAAAAGATATATTTATAATTTCATTCTCTGATTACAGGTGTTGAACCCCCGTCTAGTGGCAGGCGGCGGCGCAGTGGAGATGGCGCTGTCCGGGGCGCTGGCGGCCAACGCGCCGCGCGCCACGCCGTACCGCGCTGTAGCAACGGCACTAGGTATATATTAATTTTATTTTCATATAGTATTGAAAATGCAAAAACATTAGTGTGATTTTAAATAAAACTATCTTTTCGGATTATTTCGCGGATTTATTTTGATTTTTGGTTCCCAACGTTTCGAACGCTTTACAGCAATCATGGTCACGGGAGAGACTGCGGTGTTAGATGTCTCGAAGGTATAGTTGTTACAGACAGCCTACCCACAATATAACAAAATGAGAAATTGCACTAAGTACCTTACAATATTTTATAACTTTAAACATTTTTATAATTTTAATTAGTTTTATAATTGAATATGGAATATTATTTATTTAATCTTCGCTGTTATCATTATAATTAAGTTTTATTTAAAATGTCAAATATTCGCGTAAATCTAAGAAAGTATTATTAGTGTGATTGGTAACTAACGTGTGTCCACGGTCTGCCCGCAGAGATAATACCGCGCACGCTTGCGCAGAATTGCGGCGCGAACACCATCCGCACGCTGACGGCGCTGCGCGCGCGCCACGCCTCCGGGGCGCTGCACACCGCCGGCATCGACGGCGACACCGGCGAGATAGTAGACATGGCCGCCAAGGGCATCTGGGAACCGCTCGCTGTTAAACTGCAGGTATGTTGTGACACACCAACAATAGTCGGACGAATAATATGAATATATGGTGAAGGTACACAGCAGAGTGCAATCCCTTATGTTAATCTGCCGCGCTTGAGTAAGTCCCAAAATCAACTCTTGGGCTCCCTTACTATCAATCAGTCTTATTTATCTAATTTTTGAATAAAGCGAATGTGAAATGCGGGCGTGCGAGGTTCTGACTGTTACATTAAAGGTTTGTTGTGTGTTAATATGTAACTCATTAGTGAGACCAGTGAGGTGGATATGGCTTGACTAATTAGTGCGACCAGAGAATTAGTGGACATGGCTGCTAAAGTTATTTGAGAACCATGTATTAAATTTTTAAGAAATAGAGAGTGCACGTTATGTCTGCGAGTACACGCGATGCACTGAAGGGTTATTATCTCTTGGGCGTCACGGTCGAAATCATGTATATTAAATAGAAATTTAGTACTAGTAGAAATAGAAAGTACTTTAGTGACAAAATGAAATTAAAAAAAATAGGATTTTTTTAATTTGATCTGATTTGGATATAATGGTCAAATGAAAAGACTCAGTGAAAAGTACAATTACATCATTTTAAAAACATTAATATAAAGACAATTTAACGCTACAATGAATGTTATTATTTCAGGTGTACAAAACAGCGGTGGAAACAGCCATCATGCTCCTAAGAATTGATGACATTGTCTCTGGATCCAAGAAGAAGGACAGCGAGCCGACCGCGCCCGCGCAGGCCGCCATGCAGGAATAATAATATTAATTAATGCTTTAAACGGATGAATTTATATGACTTACGTTATTTTCTGAAAGGACTTAATTAAAAGTTAATCTTTATCTATGGATGTGGCATTTGACTTGTAATTGTTTGGTTTTTTCTACTTAAGACACTATTTAGGTGTTTAAAAGTTATATGTTGGTAATCAACAAACAGCTGTAATTAAAATTTGTAATTTAAAGATTATAAATGCAGTTTTTTTTAATATTATACACAGCTAAGAAATAAGTTTCTTCCGTGATCGTCATTTGGATTGGTGGTGAAGAAACTAATTATAAAAGGAAGTAATTTGGTAAATTTATTACATATAATAATTTAAATAACGTCGTGGATAGTATTTAGTAGTATTTTGTCATATAAATTTGTCCAAACTTTTTAATATTAACATTACAAGGGCCTTGGCTGAATGCGATAGACCGTACGCTAGGAGTGAATGAAAACATTCTTGATATTTTTGCACCACAACTTTTATTATTATAAATAGAATAAAATGTGTTCAAATTATTTTGATCATTTTATTTTTTTTCCTGAATTCAGGCTTATAATTCAGGTGACAGCTGTCATTTTCCATGTGATTGATGAAAGTTATTTTTTTTAATAAATAATTTTGGTTTTTCATATGTTTACGTAATTGCCTATGATCAAAGTTTTTATCAGCCAAAGCGCATGAATTAAATACTTAATATTTTATTAAGACTAGCTTTTTAAATTAGTCCTAACACGATGCCTTATGTTCTTTAATATTTAGTTATAGTTTTCGTTATTTATGGTCACACTGTGTTGTCGCTTCAAATGCGCGTTGTACGGAAATGCTATTTTAATGAAACAATTATAGTATTAAAATATATATCTTAATAAAAGAATGTTTTATTTTATTTTTCTTCACTCACTTTTCTCTTGATTAAGGTAAAAGAAGTAATAACTTCTTGGGTTTGTTTTTTAAAAAAATTACCTAGCATTTATATTTACTGATGGGGCATAAAGTAGGTTTATAATGATAATTACTAAACATCGATCAAATAAGTACCAGATACACAATCAGCGACAAAAAATGTCTTTACCGAAGGGGTGCTCATTTGAACATTTGAACGTGCTTTTTTTAGTGAAAACAACTTGAAGCATTGTATTTAAGGTTCCATTTACATTGTTGTATATTTATTTCTTTTTTAATAATTATCTAAACACAATTGGTGACAGTTTTTAGAGAACTTTTACATGGGATTGAGGATTGTATCTAGTAGTTTTCTGGTCGATATTACTAAATAATAAAGTTACATATAATATTAGTGGTCGGTTAGAGTTAAACAATTATACGTTCTGTTATTAGACGCATAGCGTTTCTGCGTATGTATTATTTGTTACATAATCATGTTACTATGTTCGCATATTATGTATTAAATAGAATATTGAATAGAATATATCTTTATTGACACAATTCTTTGTTGTTACATAAGCCTGTTGAAATCTCTGACTCCCAAACTAGAATAAACCTGTATATCAGGAGTCAGCGCCCTCTTCCCTCTTTAATCATAATTGGAGGTCAATAATATTACAGAGCATGTTTAACAGTAATAATTTTAGAATTTGTTTGTGAAAGAAAAAAATAAAAAATAAAATACTGAAATTAACTAAAAAAATAAAAAATAAAATGAAAAATAAAATACTGAAAAAAAAACAGCAATATTCTAAATACTAAGCTTTGTGTTTATTCTTCATGATGTCTCGCTGATTTAAGTAAAATTTGGAATAGAAATTGTCTCAATGCTTATTTGTTACAAACAACCAATTTACTGAAAGAGCTTAATTTAGAAAAAAATATTGACTTAAATATCAACTGTATTGGTATTAAATACACATTTTACTTTAGTAAAGCCGAAAAAAACATTTATTTATATATGTATGTAAAACTTAGAAACAAACCATAGTTTTTAATTCAGAAAAACAGCTACTCTAAAGTACAACAAGTATTGGTTGCTTGAATAAATAAGTACTAAGGCGATAAAATGTCTTATATCCTGAATAACCACAATTCTTTTTTAACAAATATTTTTTTAGCTGGGCCTCCAAAATTGAATTTAAAATGACGATGACCTTACAGATATTATTTTATAATCAGTCATCTAATTTTAAGGTTATATATTGTCATAATTTATCATTTATTATTTCATGTGAATGCCCACATCACGCTCGGCTCCGGCGAGTTTACATTGCTGCATTACCATATGAAAATCTTTACCGTTACTAGAATATATCCATTGTATTTTATAATATATTTTTAACGTAGGTCTAGTACAATGTATAACAGATCCGGAGGTCCTGGGTTCGAATACCTGAACGTTTCTGTTAAGATTCTTTTGGAATTGGGAAGTCGGCGGTGTGACATCCTACGCCAACTACGTAGTGGCGGCAGCTGTTGGTGAAATTGGTCGCCGTGGCTGAGATTGGTCAGAACGATATTCTTTCATATTTTTGAATAAAATTTCATGTTCCTTTAGGAGTTGTGCAACATCGTTCTGGAGCTTTGTACCTACGGTCTTTAACAATGGCACTGGTTAGAAGTCAAAAATGTTGGTAAAGAGCTTTAAGGTTATGAGTGAGCTTGTTTGTTGTTTATTATAACTTACCTAATAAATATTGTAACTCGCTTATTGAATAGTGAAAGTATATAAATTGCTAATTATTTTATTAAAGCGCAAGAACACATTAATTTTAAAACCGTGTCGTTTTGTCTTTTGATATTTCTACGAAGTTCAAACTTTCTATTTATATGTAATGTTAATATTCTCCCGACGAAACTTAGAAGGTTAATGAAAATTTTAACCGAATTTAAAAATGATGATCATTTCTAATAGTTCTTTTGTATTAATGTACGTTGTAAGTACACGTTTAGTGAATATAGAGTATTTTAAATTTAACTCATCATTAAATGAAAAATATATATCAAAACAACCCAAACAAACTATGTATTTGAACCGTACGAGAATCGAACCTACGAATCAGACAACCAGTTTACCAGGAAAACATGTTTAATAATGTCAGTCAACTACACGATTTAAAACAAAATCAATGGAAACGCGTACCGATTGTGTCAAACAAAACGTTCATAGAGCGTGACGGATCGGTGACCGCTGACTGCAGACCCTTGTTCCTGCGCATAGCTACGATATAGTCACTGTGCTTCTGTGCTTGGAGAACGGCGGACTATGTGCGGGTGAGAGCTTTAATTTGTTAATTAAATAAATTAATACTTTATATTGTACAAACAAATCTATCCCCCGGGAACCGTATATTTTTCCGGGATAAAAAGTAGTCTATGTGTTATTCCAGACTATGATATATCTCTGTGCCAAATTTCACCCAGATCCGTTCAGCCGTTCTGGTGTGAAAGAGTAATAAATATACATCCATACATACATTCTTACAAACTTTTGCGTTTATAATATTAGTAGGATTAGTGACAAACCCGCTTCCTTCGGGAGCATTCCTAGACCCTAGGTATCAAACAGTCTGTCTTACTCCAGAACATAAGTCTTATCTATATACTAAATTTTATCGTAATTCGTCCAACGGTTTCAGCGTTACAGAGTAACAAACATATACACATACACTTTCATAATTACATATAATAGTAGTCGTACATTCCTTTGCATTTTTATTATAACGGAAGTTTTCAGCAACATTTCTCCGGCCTAAAAATATCAGGATATTGGTAGCTTATTTTCGTAATATATACATACATATATGTATCATATATATACATAGATGATTGAAAATCGTAGTATCGTAATATATATATATATATATACACATATATATACATACATGTATGTTGTTTCTGAGATTAGCCCAAATAAGAATAATAATAGATTAGCCCGAACAGTACAAAATATTAAGTACTTCGTAATAATTTGTTTTTGTTGGACGGTTTTCAATATCTAAATTTAGAGCAATTTAATTAAATTAGTTCATATAAAATGTGTTATATCTTTTAAAATAATTTGGTTTCATGATATACTTAATAATTCATTTGGCTCCAAAATTGAAATATCATCTTCTGGATTCTGAAAGTTGCGCCATACCTTTTAAAATGCTTTCGATCTGGTAGACAGATTAAGTTAAAGTTTGGATAAAGTTCCTCGAAAACTTCGTCACTTATAATTTACTAGCATTGCCCGCGGCTCCGCGCGCGTTCAGATGACCAAAAACCAAATTCTTACGTTTTACATATTAGTATACTCTTACATTGCAGTTTTTGTATTTTTTCTCAGAAATGAGATATTTTCCCGCGGTAAAAAGTATCCTATATGTTGACCCGGATAACCAGCTAACACTATACCAAATTTCATCAAAATCCATCTAGTAGTTTTTCTGTATGCGGTAACAGACAGACAGACAGACAGACAAAACTTCTAAAATCTATAGAAAACTATCGAAACCATGTTAACTATATAATTATTATGTATTTGTAAAAAAAAACTTTGTTTTAATTGAACAATTATAATGCTACGAATTTAACTAATCGGTTTAAATTAACTGCACGGGTGACGGGACACGTGTACGTTTTAGTTATGTGCTGTTTATAAATCGCATCTGGGCAATTTCACAAAATATTGCTAGCTGCTTTTCACTATAATTTTGAAGCTATAAATGTTATGATACTAAATATATCAAAACTACTCACAAAAAATCTCCATTTTGATACGATATTTGTTACCATGCATTACTTACTGATATTAATTGGCTAAAGTTACGAATGAAAAGAAAGAAGAAAAGTAGTTTTTTTTTAAAGCATTTGTTGATGTAGGTTCCGGGTACAGCAACCTTTATTGTGTCCAATATTTTATCCATTTCTATATTATATCGATAAGTTGTAACACCACAAAATCCTTATGCGTGTGTATTATTAATATTATAATCTAGATACCTGTAATAAAAATGAAATATTGTAAACATTTAAGAATTGCTCGACAGATTTCGCTTTTTAAATAATAGCAATATTTTTTTCCTTAATCCTTAATTTACTGTCCGAGTGAGGTTTTTGTGGGAAAAAAATTGGAAAAGTTGCTAGGAGGAAACTCGGGGCAAACTGAAAATGCTATTATTAAAACAGAAGAAACCTCCAAAAATAGCATTGTACTTGCTGTTTTGATGAATGAACTTACAACTAGGTCAGCAATCTATGTATGGCGTAGCGATTCAATACATTTAGATAACGGACATTCGACATTTCATCAAAATAATACAAGTTATATGGACCAGAACGGGTGTAGTGAACTTCATTTCGCGTGGGAACTGGGAAGTATTTAGACAAATTTATATAAAGTAATGCTTGTAATATATTTTCATTTAAAAGCTTTTCTTTTGAGCTTTTTATTAAAACATTTTATTGAATGATTATTTTATTTTTTGAAATAGAGCAAACGTTCATAAACTTATTGTTATTTTAAAATGAAATAATTGTAACAAATGAATTAGAAATTTTATTACAATTGTGTAGAAATTTTCAACCGACTTCAAAAAGAATCAACCGACTTCAAAAAGAAGGAGGTTCTCAATTCGACTGTATGTTTTTTTTTTTTTTTATGTTTGTTACCTCAGAATTCCGTCATTTATTAACCGATTTGGACAATTTTTGTTTTGTTTGAAAGGGTATACTTCCAGATTGGTCCCATTTAAATTTCAAAAAAAAATACCACCCCTAAGGGTGGAAAAACAACTAATGATGAATTTAACCTACTTCTAATTGTCATATTGACTTGAAACTTTGCAAGTATTTCTGTTTCCGTTGATAGTACAGTGGTTCGGTGTTGTTGACCTGATCTGATGGCAAGGCCAGAAGGTGGATAGGTGGAACTCTTCAACGGCTAATAGTAGATACTTTGAGTTTGGGCTTATTTTGTTTGATTTGACAAGCCTAACACGTTAGAATCCTTACTATGCTACTACTGTCTACACTAAAAAGGGAAAAATAAAAACTTTTTAACAAAAAAATAAAAACCGACTTCAAACAAAAGCACTAAAAAGTAAAAAATAACTGATTGGTAGTTTTCATTTACTATACATACCTAATCAAATATTTTCGAAGTCGGTGTGCTTTGGCTAAGTAATTAAAGCCTACCTATTAAATACATACCTAATGAAATATTTTCGAAATCGGTGCCAGCCCATACAAAGCAAAGCACACCGACTTCAAAAATATTTGATTAGGTATGTATAGTAAATGAAAACTACCAATCAGTTATTTTTTACTTTTTAGTGCTTTTGTTTGAAGTCGGTTTTTATTTTTTTGTTAAAAAGTTTTGTATTTCATATTACTCATAATGCTCGTGTAATATTGTATATGAGAAGCAGTAGGCTGTAAATAAAGCTTAAAATACTAAATTTATACTAATAAAAAAAAAATGAATAATTTTATCTCCACTTTTCATTTATCGTACGTTTATGGCATTTTAGTAAATAAAGTAAGTGGGATAATAATGAATTGTATCTTATTTGAATAATTTTTAGGGAAAAGTTTTCGAGGTCAAAACACTGATTTTTTATAATTTAGGCAGATAATATTCACGGTTAGGTGGACATTTAGAGACTTCCGTCGATTTCATCGCGTTTCCGCCAACCATTGCGTCTGGCAAACATAATATCGTGTACAAATTGTACGGTATTATGAATTTGTATGAAATTGAATCTAGTTAAATTAGAATTTACTTACATACTAGCGGACCCGACAGACGTTGTCCTGTCTACACGTCTTTAATTTGAAAATTTCAAACTTTTTTTAATAATTTTTTTGATGAAAATTATTATTCAAATTGTCAATCTAAACCATTCCCAGATCCCCTTGAACAGTCGTTTGAGAGAAGTTCAGTGACATACACACTCACAGAAGAATTATATATATAAAGATATATAGGCCTAAAGGTGTATGTTATGCGATATATTCGCCAATTGGACACTGATTTTTATGACTCTTTTATTTTAAGAATAAAATAAAGAATAATTTACCTCAGGAAACGACTCATTAAATAGAACTACCCATATATTGAAAAATAAAATTACTCCTGGTGGGGCGAAGGATAAAGTTAGCGTACCTTTGTATTTAAAAAAGTAATTATTTCATTTCAGTTTAATCGCTTCAAAATGAAGTTATACACATTGGTTATCTGGTCTGCGGTGTTACTACGTTCGGTGCTGACATTTGATATTCAACACAATTTTACCGAGGAGCCTTATGTATGTATCTATTGTACATCAATTAATTAATAATTATAAATTAATTAGTACAGTATTTTTGTTTTAATAATTAATTGTATAACTTTCAGGAAGACTCTGACGATGTTGCTAGAGGTCGCCGAGATGTAATTGAAGAAGAAAAATTCTACAATGTAAGAACGGATAATAGGAAAGATTTCAATCAGCACACTCCATGGCTGCCGGGACCTTTGCCTCCAGAAGATCCTACTACGAAAATATCTATCGCTAACGAAGCCCCAGAGCCGGCGCAAATATATCAAACTACGGAAAGTATAACTGATAAGCCAACTGGTCGAGGAGCAAGAGCTTCCAACGAAAACTGGATCAAACTACCGTTCCCGGGCCACGATGACCACCGAGACGATATCTTGACCCCGCCGCAACCGTCGGGCGAGCTCATCAATTCTCGAATGCCGCGCGTCAATTTTGTGACCCAGAATAAGGTTCTCGAAGCTTCCGAGTCGAGAAATGATAAAGAATCGATACAAAGACCAACAAGGACCGATGATTTAAGAACGGAATTCGTAAGACCCGAAGAAGACAGAAAGCAATACAAGCCCGTGTACCCGAGGCAGGCCGTTTATTACCCGGAAGACAACAGGCGGCCGTACTACGATGATCGATATTATGGTGCTGACGATTTATACAGGCGTGATCCCTACTATGATTTATATGATAGCAAAGGGTACTATCCTGGGTACGGACCGAGAGTGGACAGATATGATGAAGCGTACGATAACTATGTTCCTCGGAAGCCTAAGAGGATTATTTATTATGCTCATTTACCCGAAGTTGTTCGGACGCCGCCAAGTGTTGATTTAAGATATCGGTACACAGTCGACCCTTACAGACGCTTCGACGACGACTACTCAGCGCGAGCTGGCAGGTACGATTATAGATTTAGAAACAGGTACCCTTACGGCCCTATGCGAAAGGATGAGAGAAGGTTTGGATATAGAGATTTAGTTAGCTCCAGTACTAGTAATAAAGACAAAAAAGTAGACGAGAAAGTAACACCAACTCCTGTTTTACCTCAAAAGGAAGATAAAAAACCCATGACAAATAATAATAGAAACGGAAATAGAATGATAAACAGTCATCAGTACCATGATATCGGCGACAGTTCGTATAAAGACCAAACTCGTAAGGCGTATAAGGATCAAAATAATTCGGCCGACAGCTACCTCAGATTCGAAGAGCCATTGTTTCACACTTCCATAGAAGATCCATATCAAAGAAAATATTAGTTCTAAATATTTATTAACAATATGTTGATCAGGTGTTTTTCACAAGAAGTTTGAAAAACATCGGCAAAATTCTTAATATTCGTTATAATAATCGGTATCTGCCTTATGGTTTTCGGAGGTCGTTCCCAAACTGTCCATGTAAAATGCTAATAAATGTAATAACGAATGGTTTTGTTTAATTACACCGAGGGAGAAGAGAAGAGTTCGCGACAAATTGTACAAGTAATAAATCGAGCGTTTAAATTAAAACACGGCGAGGGTGAAGATGAATTTCATTAAGAATTAATTAATGTCATTCTTAAAGCATTTTGTTTTTCCACGGGGATAAAAAACATCTGTCGAGAAGTTGGAGGCGACGCGTTGTCTTGAGGTAATTAAGTAATAAATTTTGTGGCCAGCAACATCTCGAGGTGGGGCCCAATTACGTTGCGCATTTAAGAAAATGGATGTTTGCCACTCACAGGCGACTTATTATGTGACTAATGTGCACTCTTACAGTACAGCGTTTTAGACGCAATCGTTTTGCAAATTCCACTATGGTAGAAAAAAACCGCTTTTCCTCATTTTTGACGACATGTTTGGTTCATTTTGTAGTGACCCTACTTGATGTGCCAACGGTCGCGGGTTCGAGTTCCGCTGGCGGCATTCATTTGTGTGATGAGCACAAATGTTTGTACTCCATGGGTATTTGGTCATGGGTATTTATATTTATAATATGTATGTATTTAAAAGTTATATATGTGTAGTGTATCAACTATCTGGTAACACAAGCCTCGTAGTTTACCATGGAACTAGATGGTGATGTTATTGTCCCAACATATTTATTTATTTATTATTATTATTATTTTTTACCGACTTCAAAAACGAAGAGGTGCTTAATTGTGTTAAATGTTTTTTTTTGCGTTTGCTATGTGATATTGTTGACTTATCAGTTGTGGGTTCATTTTTTTGTTTTTTTTAAATGTTATTTTCAAGAAAATATTCAACCCTGAAGATTAATAAGTACTTATTATGTAGCCAATTCCTTTTATTTCAATATCTTTTATAAATTCTTTAAAATTCTTACTTATCAAAAGATATTAATCAATTATTTAATAGCTTGTTTTTTTTAATTTCAAATAATGTATTTATTAAACGCTAATAAAAATACCATAATAAGCCCTCGCTATCCAAAACCAACGCAAATAATTATAGCTTAGGGCTTAGAAAAAATCCTGCGACATGACAGCATGTAATCAAGAGGATAGATAAGTTTTGGGCTTTTTAAGCGGCCGAAGCAGACGCGTTCGCGGATTAATCTTGAGATAAATTACGAGCAATTAAATGTTTAGGGGATAGCTACACTTTTAAATCGTTTAACTACAAGATGTTGCTGTCACTGTACTAGGGAGCTAATGGAACCTTATTTTGATTGTAATTCCTATATCAATTATGATTTTCGTTAAAAATCATAGTTCTTAGGTTATTGAGGATGTTGTGGAGCGAAAAAAAGTAGAGCTGTTAAAAACATTCAGTTTTTTAAATATAGATCTATTAAATAGGGATTCCGTTTACTTATATTATTCTAATATATAATGTACTAGCATTGCCCGCGGCTCCGCCCACATTCAGATGACCAAAAACCAAATTCTTAGGTTTTACATATTAGTATACCCTTACATTGCAGGTTTTGTATTTTTTCTCATAAATGAGATATTTTCCCGTGGTAAAAAGTATCCTATATGTTGACTCGGATAACCAGCTATCACCATACCAAATTTCATCAAAATCCCTCCAGTTGTTTTTCTGTGATGCGGTAACAGACAGACAGACAAAAATTCTAAAAACTATATATTCGGCCTCTGTATCGAAAATAATGGTTATTTTAATAAGATTTTCGAATAAACATTTAATGTACAGATTCGGTTTAGTTACAATTTTATTATATGTATAGATAGATATAGGTAATACCCCTCGTAAAGGCAAAAATGTGTATGTCGGTTTGTTAGTAACATTTCCTTTTCTGACGCAAAGGAGCAACGATGTAGTATTTTGCATATAGACCTTTGGCCTGAGAGTCAAATATATTTATGTTCCGGTACAATATACATACATCTATGTGATTCATGTGGGATATCAGTTTATTGAAAATCTTACATAGAGATAATAGTCTCATTTAATCCAATAATATTAATAGGATAATAGCATGAATAAATAACAAGCAAGGATACAATACTGTAAACAAACCGTCCTGAGGAGCCATTGGCACAATTGGGCCTTGATAAGTTGAATTATTTATGGAGTCGCATCACTGGAGTGGCCATGAGGTCGGTACAATATTATTTTTGAAAGCGTCCAAATAAAGTATTTATTGTACAATATAACTGTACTTTGTTTAAACGAAATTATTATTGCACGTATTTCATGTTTTTTCGAAGAAAAAAGCATCTAAATAAATATATTTTAGGTAAGGGTATAAAAACGGTACGTACCTATTTACAAAATCTAATTTATAATCTACATATTAGTTTTATATTTACTAGCACTGCCCGCGGTTCTGCGCGCGTTCAGATGACCAGAAACCAAATTCTTAGGTTTTACATATTAGTAGACTCTTACATTGCAGTTTTTGTATTTTTTCTCAGAAATGATATAATTTCCCGCGGTAAAAAATATCCTATATGTTGTCCCGGGTAACCAGCTATCATCATACCAAATTTCATCAAAATCCCTCCAGTGGTTTTTCCGTGATGCGGTAACAGACAGACAGACGAAAATTCTAAAAACTATAGATTCGGTCTCTGTATCGATAATAATGTTTATTTCAATAAGATTTTCCAAAAATATTCAATGTACAGATTTGGCTTAGTTACAATTTTATCATACGTATAGATATAAATTGCGATAATTATACAAATTTAATAATATTAATAATAAAATATTAATTTATATATACAATCTCAAAGCACTGTCCAGTATTTTAGTTTAATGTGCCTCTACGAAGAAGGGTTGCGACAGATGCTGGCGGTCATACAACGTGAACAAACAGCAACCTGTCTCGGGGCTAAATTCATTACGCCTGAAACGTCAGGAACTCCTCAAATCTAATCTTAAGACGGGCTTCGCTAATTGGGAAGCCGGTATAAACTATATATGTACTAACTACCAACATATACTTTATATAGGTGAGTATGTATGTTCGTGCAATAAAATAGACGTAGGCATGAATATTAGACGTTTTAAAAAATGGGATTCTTTAAAAAAAAATGCGATGATATCTATGGCTATGTCAGCTTTTTTTATTTGTTTGTCACTTATAGATAACTGAAAAAAATAATTTTGGAACAAGTAGTAGGTGAGTTACAGGTTTTGCAATATAATTTTAATATATAAAATTTTTGACATATCGTAATTTTCTAATTCAATAAGACGATCGATTGTCTATCGATATATCTTAGTCAGAGTCACTCAATCAGTTTTTAAAGTGAAAGTAAAGTAAAACATAATACTTTCTTAGATTTACGCGAATATTTGACATTTTAAATAAAACAACAAGTATATAATGCTTTTGAGATGTCTAAAATCTTAGTCTCTTCCGTGACCATGATTGCTGTAAAGCATTCGAAACGTCGGGAACCAAAAATCAAAATAAATCCGCCAAATAATAAATAAATAAATATTTTGAGACATTAACACACATCACCATCTAGTTCCATGGAAAGCTACTAGAGGCTTGTGTTTTGGATACCAGATATTTGAGACACTACGCACACGTACACATTATATATTTTAAATACATACATATTATAAATATAACCCGTGACTTAAGTACAAACATTCGTGCTCATCACACAAATGAATGCTCCCAGCGGGACTCGAACCCACGACCGCTGGTACAGAAAGGAGTGTCACTACAAACTGAGCCAAACGTGTCGTCAACTAAATAATCCGAAAAGATAATAAACTATAACTTAACAAATAGTTTTAAGATAATTCTTCTACAGCTCGTTGAAAAATCCTAATTTTCAGTTCCAAATAATAGTGACACAAATTAAATTTTAACGGCGAAATAAATGAGTTTGGTAATGTAACATTATCCCGCACTGCGACATGAGAAAACCTTCGAACTACTAATATGTCAATAACAATTTGCCGAATTGCTTTCACGTTGTTAGATATGAGTCGGTAAGGGGTTGCGGTAGGGCTGCCTTTTACTCATAATTTTATTTATTTTGCTAAATTTAATAATACTTAGATAAATTTATCGAATTATTGCTTATGTATTGGGAGGAAAGCCACTAACTTGATGTAATTTGAACTAGTTAAGGTATTGTGTGTTCTTTATGATTTGGATTTTTGTGTTAGTAGAAACGGTAATGAAACAAAAGGCTACAAAATTAGTTATTAAAATACAAAATAAATAATTAATTACAAACGACAGATAGTTTAATTATCATGAATGTTTGTTTGTTTTTCTGTTGTCAATATATCTTTTTGCATATAGATATTATTGGTATATAATATATATGTATGACTAAAAGTTACACGCGGCTTGATGGTCCTTAACAGTAAAATGACGAACCTTTTATAGTAAGCAGTTTACGATTACATTTAAAAAAAAGAGTCCATGATTTGCCTCTGCGAATTTCGGTGAGCTGTGCCAGTTTTACTTTTCATATATTAAAAACTTTAGAACTTTAAAGAAATACTAAACAATTATGTGTCTTCAAATAGTTTTAAGTAACACAGCAAATATGCTTAATAATAATCTCTTTTGACTGACTTAAAAGGGGGGAGGTATGTATTTTAGGTATTTCGATTGTTTTTTTGTGTGTTACGCCTTATCTTCGCCAATTGTAAATCAATTTATATAATATTTTTTTAGTTATAAGTGGTTTATTCCGTGGAAGTGGATGGCTAGGTTTAAAAATAAAAAAAAAACACCTTAATAAATTTTTAGTATTAGTTACCTTTCTGAATAAAAATGTAGGTAATCTTTAACAAAAAAATCAAATACC